ATTATTATTGTTACTATTATCATCATCATTGTTATTGTCGTAATCTTAACTTTGATAATAATAATAATAATTGTTATTATTATTATTGTTATTATTATTATTATTATTATTATTATCACCATTATTTTCATTATTATTATTATCTTGATAGAACCTTGACTGACACAGTGAATCATTCTTAAAAATATATTATTTTTTATAAATCGAAAAATAATTTTTTATTACTAGCAATTATGATCCACTAAGAGCAAAAATGGAAGAATTTCCTATGAATTTTCTCAATTCGTCGCGTAAAATGCCCGAATTTTTAGTTATATAATTTTCAGTTTCTTTGAACTTTTTTTAAACAAACAACATAAAAAAAATTTAAAAAACTACAATAAAAATAAAACAAACCTTTTGAAAAAAACCCAAATTAGGGAATGTTCGTGAAATATCTAAATGAATCAATTCCAGCGTACCTTCACGTCCCATATCGCCACCTAGAAAAACATTCATCACTCCTTTTCCCACTCACTCTCTCTGCGCTGAAATGAACACATTAACAAAATACATAACAGATATCAACCTCATTTATAGTTCATCACCTGAGGATCAGTTCCTGGCAGGGGTATTGATGACTCTTTCATTCAGGGGTCCGTTGGGAGCAAGCTGATGGAGATTTTTATGCTGACAGCATCGATTTTTGGGTTGTGGGCAGTGCTTCCGGCCATTGGGGTCAGCTATTCCTCATGACAAATATTTCAATGTTACTGGTATTAATTAATTTCATTGAGAAAATTAACGCTTTCTCACTTATTATTCCATTTCACTATAAAATAAAGGGTCGTCGGAGGGCTGGAAAAAACAAGTTACGGTCCACTGATCGAAAAGGTCGAACTCCATGACTGACGGAATAAAAACTAACTTTGAAGGACGGGATAAAACGGTCGCTGCTGATTACTTTCAACTGATGCAAACGCTGCTGTATCGCCTTCGGATCCACGCAGGTCACTGGCAACTGTGGCAAAATGTTGTCGCGCTCGTGCAACACAGATTTCGTACAGTTCTGAAAATTATCACATCCGTTATGGGTACTTTTATTAAAAAAAACGAGTAATGGAGCGCTTCACAAAGACTGCACGTTTATGCATTATTGTAGTGGGCTGTGGCAGGCTCACATTAACAGAATATAGCATAAAAAGAGTTAGGTTTCATTTCTTCTTTTATGTCTACCTCATTTATCCCCTGTACTTCCCTCCCACCTAACTTACTTCTGCACCTTTTTATTCTTCCTTTATTCGTCATTCTTCTACACTTCTTGTCCCATTCTTCCAATAATAATACTTTTTTTATTCGTTTTTCTTTTAATTTTCCTTTCATTTAACTTACATATTTACTTCATATTACTTTCCCATCACATTATTCAATTTAACAAGAAATATTATTATTACTACTCCCCTTCTTCCACAATACTTCTTACTGTTAACATTCACTATAAAGCTAATTTAAACTTAATACTCATTATGTCCAATTACAACAGCTGTCGTACTGACGAGGTCCAATTGTGGTAGTAATAAGAAATGTATACGACTTAATGGACCGAAACATTTCTTACCATTTAAATAATTTTATTAATTTACAAATTTTGGAATTCTCATCTCCTACTTTTTTTACTCTTCCTCTTCTTTCATCCGTTGTTAATATACTGTACTTTTTATTTTATTACCTTCTCAAGATGGTTTTCCTTTTTTTTTATCTATTTGTCAGACAATAATAAGCAGCTTGACTGCGTGTGATGCTGTGAGATATCCTACTGCACGCTGTGACTGTGTTAGCAAAACATCAAAACGTGAGCCTAGATTTTTCGCGTCCCTTCATATGAAGATGCAAGAAGCGAAGGCTCTTGCTACGCTTCCTGATTAGCCATTTAAGGTATCAGGTTTCTGTTTCATAATTTTGAATTATAAATTATCGCGAAAAACAAAAAAAACAAGTAAACGCAAACGTGGTATCGACATAATGATTTTTCATCTGCACATATGCAAAAATTTATGAAAAACGAGATTCGGCCGAAGCAAAATTAATGTTACTGGAACACAT